ACTAAATTTACTGTAGATTTAGTCGACTAAAATCTTATGATATTTAGTAGACTAAAACTAGACTAAAACTAAAAACAATTCAGATGACTAAAATATGACTAAAACTAAATGGCATTTTAGTCAAAAGACTATGACTAAAACTAAATCAAAATTTGCTGTCAAAATTAACACTGGTGTCCACACTGGAAGCGAGCGGCGTGACAAAATACTATGAACCCATTATAATCAGTGATGCTGTCTACACTGGATGCGGTGCGACACGACAAATCATATGATGTGCAAAACATAGCACATCATGCGATGTGACTATCGCGGATGCGCACATTGCGATATCGATGCTGAAACGATATATCGTGCAGCCCTAGGGGTCACATACTTTTTCTTGCAACCTTACACCATATAATCCAAGAATCTATTCCTAGGCTGGTTTTAATTAAACTCATGTCCCGATAAGATGTGGACTTGCTGATGAGGCAGTGTGGTTTGACTTTCCACAGCGGTTCCGTCTGCACCCCAGAGAGTGATTTCTAGCGTGAACGAGACTTCCCTGCGGCTGGAGTGGGATCCGCCGAAAGAGAGCGGAGGCCGGGAGGACGTGGTCTATAACGTCATCTGCAAGAGCTGCGGTTCGGGTCGAGGGGCCTGCACTCGCTGCGGTGACAATGTGCAGTTCGTGCCCCGCCAGCTGGGCCTGACCCATCCCTGGGTCCACATCAGTGACCTGCTGGCCCACACGCAGTACACCTTTGAGATCCAGGCTGTGAATGGAGTGTCTGACGAGAGTCCCTTCTCACCTCAGTTCACCGCTGTCAACATCACCACAAACCAGGCCGGTAAGACAGCAGTAAACACAGGTAACAGTTTGAGACATCGCAGATGATGTTCATACTCAAAATATTTTTTACTTGCTGGGGGGCTGGATTCGACCTTGAATTACACAAGCTTGTGTGTTGCCGGGCAACTTTTCTAGAATTTAGTATAAGGATATATTATATTTAGTATGAGACTAGTTCAGGGGTTTGCAAACATTTTGATGTCATGGGACCTTCCTATCTCCTTCCTAAAATATTAAAGTAGCTAAATATGTAAATGTGCAAAGAGCTGTTCATATTTTATTTAATAAAAAAATAGTATATGTATAAAATATGTTTGAACTAAATATTTAATATATTATATTAGTATAATGTAATTATATAATATTTAAATGGTAATATTTATTTTATATTATATTGCTATGATATTATACTGTATTATACTATATATTATATATTTATAAAAATATATATTATTAAATTTAATTTGAAATTTCTGCTCATCAAGGCTGTATTTATTCGATCAAAAATACAGGGAAAACAGTAATATTGTGAAATCTTATTGCAATTTCTAATATTGGTTTCCTATTTGAATATACTTTAAAATAGAATTTATTTCTGTGACGCAGCGCTGAATTTTCAGCATTATTACTCCAGTCTTCAGTGTCACGTGATCCTTCAGAAATCATTCTAATATGATTATTTATTATGAGTGCTTCATATAGTTTTTTTGAAACCTGTGATACTTTTTTCTTTGATGAATACAAAGTTTAAAAAAAACAGCATTTGTTCAAAATAGAAATCTTTTCTAACAATATAAGTCTTTACTATGACATTTATTCATTTAACACATCCCTCCTGAATAAAAGTATTCATTTCCTAAAAAAAAAAAAAAAGAAAGAAAAAATATATTGACCCCAAACTTTTAAACAGCATTGTATATTGTAACACAAAATTTCTTTTTTAAATAAATGCTGTTCTTTTTAACTTTTTATAAATCAAAGAATCCTAAAAAAAAAAAATATCACAGGTCCCCAAAAAAATATGAAGCAGCACAACTGTTTCCAACATTGATTATAAATTAGCATATTCGAATGATTTCTGAAGGAAGACTTAAGTAATAATGCTGAAAATTCAGCTTTGCATCACAGGAATAAATTATATTTTAAAGTAAATAAAAGTATTCATTTCCTAAAAAAAAAAAAAAAGAAAGAAAAAATATATTGACCCCAAACTTTTAAACAGCATTGTATATTGTAACACAAAATTTCTTTTTTAAATAAATGCTGTTCTTTTTAACTTTTTATAAATCAAAGAATCCTAAAAAAAAAAAATATCACAGGTCCCCAAAAAAATATGAAGCAGCACAACTGTTTCCAACATTGATTATAAATCAGCATGTTAGAATGATTTCTGAAGGATCATGTGACCATGAAGACTGGAGTAATGATGCTGAAAACTCAGCTTTGATCGCAGAGATAAATTATATTTTAAAGTGTATTAAAATATAAAACTGTTATTTTAAAGGTCCCATGTTGTACACCTTTCTGGAGTTTTATTTTAGGTTTTGATGTCCTTAAGAATGTATATTTGCGGTATAATTACCAAAAACCATCTCAATATATTTTTACAGCTCCTCTCTCAGGAGCTCTGCTGAGAACAGGTCTATTTTGACCTGTCTAATTAATATTCATGAGCCTCTCTTCTGATTGGCCTGTTGTTTTCTGAGTGACACACGGCCCGGCCAACCACAGGTAACTAGGGTCTTTTTTATTCTTTTTGATCAAATAGATAAAGCCTTGATGAGCAGAAGAGACTTCTTTAAAAAACATTAAAAATCTTACTGATCCCAAACTTTTGACTGGCAGTGTGTATATACAGTGTATACAGTGTGTATATGTGTATATATATATATATATATATATATTATTATTATTTATTTTTTATTTTTTTCTGGAAACTATGCAATTATACATTATATTCTTACATAATATTTTCCAGCTAATATTTAGAATAAAATGGTAATACTATCAAATTTGGTAAATGTTTTACTTGGTTTCATTTATTTATTTTTATTACATTTTTAATTTATTCATTTATTTACATTTTTATGCAGCAACACCACCTAAAAAATGTGTCTAATTGTAGTCAGTTGATGCCAAAACCAGCTAAACTATTTAGAGCCTTTTTAAAACAATTAGTTGTCTAGCTGTCTATTCAGGCAACCCACCGGCTTGGTTTTGAAAATATGCAATTTTGCACATCAGAAGACTGTAGTTACACACTAGTATCTCTGTGAGTCTCACTGTTCACATTGCCAAGTTTTTTTTTTCCCCGACCGAAAGCTGCTTTGAGTGTCTTCAGTTTTATAGGACACCATCATGAAAGTGATGTGTTTGCATCTTTTTATCAAGTTTTGACAATATGGGACCTTTAAATTGCAATAATATTTCACAAAATAACGTTTTTTTATTCTGTATTTTTGATCAAATAGATAAAGCCTTGATGAGCAGAAGAGACTTCTTTAAAAAACATTAAAAATCTTACTGATCGCAAACTTTTGACTGGCAGTGTGTATATACAGTGTATACAGTGTGTATATGTGTATATATATATATATATATATATATTATTATTATTTATT